GGGGGGGGGGGGGAGGCGTTACGGCGGCAGCGCGTTCAGCCAAGGCGACCTGGTAACTAAGCATTTCACATGCTGGTGCGCTGTCAGATTCAGCAACTTGTGCCCGACATAAGTGGTGCGGCACCCAGTGCGTCTGTATGTGGCTGTGGAAAGTCGGCAGACTGCAAACTCCACCCGGCCGCGCGCTGATGGCCCATACGGGCAGGTACACACCCGCCGCGACGACGGGCTCGGCCTTCACTGGCACAGGCCCTGGCCCCGAGGACTGCATGACGATCCTGGCCAACAAATCGAGCGAAGGCACCCGCGGCACGCCGCCGCCGCCACTGCCGCCGCCGAGCCCGGCGGCTGCATCTGCCATCGCGGCGAACGACGCGGACGCCGCCAGGCCGCCGGGCCCGCCGTCCGAGGTAGGGGGCGCCTGGTTGGCTGCTGCGGCCAGGTTTGTGGCCGAAGGGATGCGCTTCAGAAACTCCTGGAAGGCGGCCTCCGAGTCAGTGCGCCCCATGCCCGCCTGGCCCAGGCGGTAGAGGCCGCCGACGAGGTCGTCCACGCTGAACGACCGCTCCATGGCTGGCTGCTGCCGCCGCCGGCGCGGGCGCAGGCGCGGTGCGCGAGGCTCGCACTGCTTGCGGTGCTGCGGAGCCGGACTAAAGGGCGGCTGGCACGCCGCAGCTGCGCGGAATGCTGCTCTGGATGGTGCGGGGTGGGGCGGCGATGGGGTTTGAGCAGTTGCAATCACGCCCAGCTGGAGCGCGCAGACTGCAGCGGTGCTGCCCGCGCAATTCCTTTGAGGACGCGCGAGGCGCCGGCGACAGGTTCGCATGAGGCAGGGTGGGACCGCGGCGTGCAGCGTGAACCTTGCAGTGTGACCCGTGCGATATAATGCTCCTGGTGGTGCACCAAGCCATGGGAACCAATGGGTGCCCGCGGCTGAAGCCTTCGCACGGACGCCGTCAGCTGACACACCTGCGTGAGCTTGCAGCTTCACCCTATAGCCCAGGTCCGCTCGGCTGGGTGGTGGCGGGGTCCAGCTGCTGACGAGGCCACCTTGGGCATCAACACAGGTGAGCTGGCACAGGTTGCGAGTTCTCGACGATTTGTTCCGCGGCTCAGATATCACACTCGTAAAATTCAACTGGAATGTTTTGATCTCAACCTAAGCGAGACAGAGGGTGCACACGCGGAGCAGGCGTGAAAGCACTGTTGGGATCATTGGAGAGGGGTGCTCTTCAATGATGGGCGCGGGAGATTGCAACTATCTGCAATTCAAACCCCACACGCTGCGGCACGGCGCCGACGGCATCGTCCGCGGTCAGGTGAACACCGCCACCGACGCGGTCCGCTGCAGGCCAGGCCGCGGTCCTCGAAGTTTACCGTGCCAACAGGGTGGTTTTCATGACGGTGTGAATAATTTGACCTCACTACGCCTTATCCTCACGGTTCCCGCTCCATTTTCCACCGTCCTCTGTTTTCACCACAATTGATTCGTGCAGGGCCCCGCCCTCACACACACACACACACACACTCATGAGCAGTTGCACACATGAGTGCGTGCAAATACACATACACACACACTCTGATGAACACACACACGCACACACACACACACACACACACATGCGCGCGCGCGCGGGTGCGGGCGCGCACGCATCACCGCATCGCCTGGTTTGCTTTGCCCTGTGCAATACCCATACTCGCCGCCCTATCTACAAAGACAAGCTATGCTGTGTGGGGAGATTCGCGCACATTACACAGCAGCCAACACAGCAGGGGCTCACGCCGCGTAGGCCTTGTTGAGCACGACGCCCTCAAACTTGGTCTGGAACCAGCGGGTCGCGTCCTCCTTGGTCACGCGGTGCTGCACGCCCACCCTGGAGTGCACGCGGCGGCGCCGGGCGACGCGGTAGCCGGGGCGCTCAAGGCACACGTAGAAGTCCATCCCTTGGCACAAGAGGGGCGTTGATGGAGATGAAGGTGGGGGGAAGAAGTGTGGGTGCAAGGCCACGTGGATGTGTTGCAGGGGTGTGGCACAGGCGGGGGACCTGCACGGTGGCTGTGGTGGATGATGAAGCAGGCGCGTCAACACAGCGGCAGCTGCATGCAAGATGTCCCCAGAGCCAGCAGATTGGCGGCGCCCGTCGTGGCGGCGCCACCGCCAAGGGCTAGCCCCGGGTTTCGATGTCGCACCACGCTCATACTAACTCGCATTGGCAGTATATGCGGGCTGTAATCAGTTTAAACTGGTGCTTTGCCGAGCCTGACCCCTCCATGTGCAGCCTTTGACCCTTTGCCTCGCTGGTAGCGCAGCTACACGCCCCCCCTGCGCACCGTAGATGCCCGTGGAGGGGTCGTACTTGATGCCCAGGTCGATGTGCTCGCTGATGCCGAAGCCTGGGGTTAATGCAGGAACGACGATGTGAGCGTGGTGCGCTCAAGTGATGTGTGCGTATATGTGTCAAGGGAGGGCGCTGTGCAGTGTGAGTTTGAGTGGATGCGTGTGTGTTGTTGGGCAGGGAAGAGCGAGAGGGCCAAGCCAAAGTCATGCATGCGCCCGCCATGCATGTGTTGCAGCCTGGACGCCTGGCAAAGGCCGCTGGCCACCAAACTGCGACCCTGTGCTGCGGCTACATCTATCCTGCGCCCACCGAAGTTGCCGCTCTCGCTGAAGTTCTTGCGGATGAGCTCGTACTCCTTCACCTTGAGGCCCGCATCCTGGGCAACAGTGCGTGGTGGACAGGGGGTGCAGGGGGGGGGTCTGAGGGTGAGATCATGACAGCTGACAGTGCACTGCGCCTGATCGGCAGAGTACTTGCGGGGGTTGCAGGGATGCAACGTGGTGTCAGGTGTAACGGGGATGAGATATGCGAAATGAGGGCGACTGGACGTCACATGGTGCCAGGAATCATTCAACTCCCGTGTTGTGCAACTGCTTGCAGCTGAGATGCTGCCTTCCATTGACAGAATTCTGAAATCTGCCGAAGTAAGACCATTGGGGCAGCCACGCCTGGCCAGTCACGCGCTCCTACTTCAGCATTGTTGCTGCAAGAGACACGATCCCCAGCCCATATGTGCCACGACCGCTGGCGTGACGGTGACTGTGAGCCTCTTGCTGTCAAACGACGCAACTGCCGACCGATGCACCACCTGCCACCTCTGCTGCTGCCAGCCCTCTGGACCCCTCGTTCTACTGCCTGATGACCAACCAGCCACGCACGGCACAGCCTCCACTGCTTGCCGCTACTGCTGCTTCCTGCAGCTTCAGCTGCGATTGTGGCTGCTGCAAGGCTGGTGCCGCGCCGCCTACAGCCTTGGGCAGCCTCAGCGGTGCCCACTGTAAGAGCCAACCGTGTGCCAGGCCTCGGTGTGTGTTTGATCCCGATGGCCCCCACCAATCTCTGCAACCGCAGCGGCCGCCGCCCATGACAATGTGCCGGCATGCGCAAAGCATGACAGGCCGCCACCACCCATTCCCCCGCTCACCAGCAGCTGCATCGCCTTCTCGCCGCGGACGGTGACAGAGCATGAGATCTTCTCGTTACGCCGGATGCTGAACGAGCGCACCGTGTACCTGGCCTTGCCGTACACAGGCTGCTGTCCGGTCAGCTGCTCCAGCACCTGCGGTATGCGAGGAACGAGAGGCGCAGCAGTTCGATGGCGAGCGAGCAGCAGCACCCGCTGCAGCACCGCCGCATCCGCCGCAGCATTGTCCGCTGCAGCTGGTCACGCCGGTTCGACGGGCGGCTGCCAGCCAACCCAAAAGGCTTCCATACCTTGGCCGCCTTCTGCAGACGATCACCAGACTCGCCCACGCAGATGTTGAGCACCAGCTTGGAGACGCGGATCTCCCTCATGGGGTTGCCCGCCTTGGCGTCGTTCTGCGAACATCAAAGCATATCACATGACCTCGCAGCTCTGCTATACACGGTGCTACTGGGAGTCGCCAGTGGCTGCACTTGCTTGGCGGCCAGCCCTGCGCGCAGCAGAAGACGCGTTAGCTTACCACCATGGTGCTCCCAGCTGCCCGTACGAGACGCTTGCTGCTGGCCGAAAAGAGGCAGGAGCAACAGTGCGCCACGGGCAAGTCCCTACGGTGTCGTGCTGTGTCGCCACTAGCAGGCGGGCGGCTGATGCGGGACCTGCACGCCAGCAGCAGCCCTAGGCGCCTTGGTTCAGGGTTGAAAAGCATACAACCTTGAAGTTTGGGGCACCACGCTCGCAACGGTTGCTGTGCTCGCATCAGCACGCACGAATAAGTTGACCGTTGTGCTTGACCCATACGACGGGCCACCGAATGGGCGCGCCAATGCTAGGTGTGCAAGGCTGTGATGCCTACTGTTGGGAGACCGACACGAAAATTTCCAGGTTAAAGGGAATGTATGAGCCGGGTGGAATGGGCACTTGCACCAGTTTTGTTGTGTCATGGGATCAGCCTTGCCTGCCCTGTACTACCGAGTTTTCCAATAATACTTTTAAGAAGAACAAGCACCCAGGTGCCATGCCGCATGCACTACCTATCCCTTGTATATCGCTTTCGGTGGGGCTCGCCACCACCACGGCCTGCCAGCAGGCCGAGACAGCAGGGTCACCTGAGCATGCGGCTCGTGTGCGCAGGGTTTCCGAGGACACTGTAACCACGTTGCAGGGCTTATCAGACAATGATAATTGAGCTTACCATCTTGTAGTGTGCAACTTGGCGTTATAATATGTCCTCGATGACAGTGAGCTGCTGAGAACCGCTACAGGCGAACACCTGTCAGCTCATTTGAACGTCATAAAATGCAGATAAAGTTGATTCTGATAGGTTTAGCGTGGCATGCATGCTTCGCAAGAGGGGCAGTGCCGGCGATCCGACCTGCGACATCGTCCGTCCCGCTCATCAGTGAGTCTGTTGGTCCTACGACTCCGTGCTAAGCGTTAACTCGGTTATCCTTGTCAAGCTTGGCCTTGTACGGGTCCACCCAATGCTGGCTTGCTGCAGCGGCGTCACTGAGAGGATGTTACCTCCAGGAGAAGGTAGCAGCCGGCTTGCCACTGACCTGGAAACACAGACATGACAGACATCAATTGAAAAAAAACTTACCTGCTCATGTGTTTCGGCTTCACCCTCACGCACGCTTGCCCGACACAGCTGGCATTTTTGACATCAGCACTGCGCCAGCCCTGGACGACCCTAATGCTCCGGCAGCAATAGAGGCTAAGGGCCTGTCACGCCGCGCGGCAAACTACCCGCCGGTGCCAGAGCTATCTTTCGCTCCCATACAGCGCCTGCTGCCCCATGCCGCCGAGTACTCTGAGGTGCACGCAGCCGTGGATGACGCCGCAGTGGACGCGGGCGTTATCAACAGCCTGCTGCAGGCAGAGGAGCCGGTGCAGCTGCAGGCGCTGCAGCAGCAGGCCCCACCGCCACGCGCTCCGCTGCGGCGACGCGCCACCGGCGCCCGCGCCGGCTTCCCCGGGCCGGCGCCCACCGCCGCTGCAGCCGCGGCGCGCGGCTCCGCCGCTGCCATCGCCGCGAGCGAGAAGCGCGCCGTCCACGTCAGCGGCGGCGTCCTCTCCGCCTACTCCCTCGACCCCGCCACCGGCGTGCGAGACGCGACCCTTGCTCAGATCCGCCTGCAAGACCTTTTCGCCCCCATCGGCTCCTCAAACTGCCGAGACGGCGTGTACGACGCGAGTGCAGTCTACGACACGCGCGCGTCGCGGTTCTACGTCGCCGCGGCGTGCGGCGGCACGGGATCTGCGCTGCTCGCCGTCTCGGCCACCTCGGAGCCTGCCAGCTACTGGTATCTGTACAACCTCAATGCGGACGGTGTCGGCACGGCGCTCGCGTGCGCGAGCGGCGAGGCCGCCCTCGCGGACTACCCCCGGCTCACCTTCAACGCAGACGCCCTCGCCGTCAGCGTCCGGACGTACTGCCCGTCGGCCGGCGGCGCCGCGGGCGCGCCCGGCGCCGGCGCGGCGCTGATGGTGCTGCCGAAGGGGCCGGCTGCCAACGGAGAGACGCGGCTGGCGTACGCTCTGTTCACCTCGCACGAGGTCGCAGCGGCGGCGAGCGCGGCGGCGGCGGCAGCGGGCGGCGAGCGGGTGGCCGCAGGGAGCGTCCTGCAGTTGGAGCCGGCGGTGCCGCAGAGCGCGGCTGACGTGAATGCTGACCACATGTACTTCGTGGCTGATGTGAGCACATGGTTGGGGGCGGTGCACTGAGTGGAGATGAAGGGCAGGGAGGCGGGTTTTCAAGGCACGAGGAGAGGGCAGGGGCGTGCCTGCCCTTCCCCTGAGACTGATGCGCAGCATGCGAGCTGGGATGTGGAGAGGGGCCGCCACTGCAGGCTGATTCAGCGTCAAGTTGGCAGCATAGGTCTAGCTAAGTGCAGATTGTCTCACTGGCAAACGCAGCCGTCGCAATCTCTGCATCCTTCGCGGCCGTCAAACCCCGCGCCACCCCTCCCTGCTGTGTCTGCCTCATGCAGCTGGCAACCCCCAAGGGCCAGCCGCGTCGCAGCTTTCTTCTGGTCTCCCTGATCAACACGGGCGCCATGTGGGGCTTCAACGGCACCGCCGGTAGCCCCGCTGCGCTGACGCCGTTCTTGGCCGCGGTGGTCGCAGACCGCGGTGCGCCTGTCACCCCACCTGCACCTGTCAAGACGATGCTGCAGCCCGAGGGAGCGCCGGCGCTGCAGGCGGCCAGCCTGCCCTCTGGCATCTGGAGCGGCCGGGTGCGCTTGTTGACACAATTCATCTGCAGTTCACACTTTGTTTTTACTTACATTGAGGAGCGCCTGTCACTGCCAGCTTTGCAACCAAGCATGCCCCTCAACAGAAGGGGCCATGGAAAGGGGCCGTAGGGCACATTGCTTCTCCTGACCACAGAGCACCACCACCTTGTTGCATCACACCTTGAATGTTAGCTATGCGTTGCGCATTGATCCGCAGGTGGCTTGGGCAGGTGGCAAGGTCTACGTGGTAGAGGAGGCCTCCAGCGACGACGCATCCCACAGCCCGACCCTTGCGTGGACCGTACTCCAGCCAACCCTGTCCGTCGCCGGCACAAGCGGCGACGCCTGCCTGGCGCCGCCAGCCTGGGGCCAAAGCTTTGACTTTGCGGTCAACAGGAGCGCCGAGTTTGGGGCGAGCACGCAGGTGGCTTGGGAGGGCTTTGTGAACAAGGCGGCAGAGGCGTCCAAGGTTGTCGACCAGGCAAGGTACTTCTGGGGCTCACGCCACCCCCGAAACCCCGGCCTCGCACCAACCTCGGATGGCGCAGTGGCTGCTGAGGCTGCAGAGGCCGACCCCGAGCTGGCAGCGCAGATGGTGAGGACCGATGTCAGCCCCTTCGTCGTGCCCTCCGAGGACGTCCCGCTTGCCGCCCCCGCGCCGCTCGGCGCAACCGCGCCGGCCGGCGCCGTGCTGCCCCTTGATGCCGCTGCCGGCGACGAAGTGAGTGCGGCGACAACCGGTTACACCAGCTACCCCTGTGCGCGAGGGAACAAGCGGTGCACGTTTTATGGGAATTACTACGGCTACAGCGGCGCTTACACGCGGTGGAACTGCTGGAGCTGCGGCTATGGCACCAACGGGTTTTATGTCAAGTCAAAGTATTACACCTCATACCAGGTAGGATCTGGAGTGTTGTGCCCGCAGATCTGGATCTGGGGTGCTGATCTCCGTCTGTCCAAATATTTGCAAGGAGCGTGTTTTGCTTGGCTCCAGGCCCTCAGATGACTATGCATTGGCAAATGCAAGATTGGGCTACGCCGTTGGCTGCTTGCCAACTATCATGCACTCCCGTCGAACCCTGCATTACTCAGGCGTACAACTGGGGTTACACCGGCGTGGGCCGAGTCTGGTACTCTGGCGGCTGGGGGTCTGGCGGCTGGGGCGGCGGCTACTTTGGCGGCAGCTGCAACAGCTACAACTGGGGCGCCGCCACTCTCAACCGCTTCAACCGCTACGGCGGCACCGGCGG